CGAGTCCCACCTTGGTGATCCTGGGCAGACTTCTCGGGTTTTCCCCTTTGCCCGGCTCCCTTACCTTCGGAATACGGACCAACGCTCCCTGGCACCTGGCTATAAGATTCTCCAGGTTTCGTTTTACGTTCTCCGGGTCCCCGTCTACGTCTTTGATGGAGACACCCTCCATCACTCTTCGGATGCCCTCCATGGCCTCCTCTCCTGAAGGCTCATTCAGCGCCTTCCTCTCTCCTCTTACCTTCGGCCGGTATACCGTCCCCTCAGCTCCTTCGGCCGTCTCCGATGTCGCCGGCTTCTCTTTCCCATGCTTTTGGCCGTGGGCCTTGGACCGAGCAGGTTTCGCCGCTCTTGCAGGTTTCGCGTGGGCTTGGACTTGGGCTTTGGTTCGGGGTGGATGGTCTGCCCCCTGATCCATTGCTTGCATCTCCACTATTGCCCTCTCCTGTTTGTCCCTGTCCTCGGCTTTTGCTCTTATCTCCCTCTCTTCGAGGAGGAGCGCCGACCACTTCCCCACCTGCCCCTCGAGGCTCTTCACCCTTTCTCGCAGCCTCTCGGTCTCCTCCTCTAAAGCCGCATTGGTGGTGCTTGCCGTCTTCTTAGCCACCACGGCGGCTACAGCTCGCAGTTTGCTGGCGCTGACTTTGAGCTCCTTCACGAAGGTGCCTTTGAGATTGGAGGATTTCTCGGCTACCTTCACCACGGCCTTGATGCTCTCCAGCATCTCTGCCGCGATCTGGACGTTATTAAGACCCTCCATTTGGCGGATGGTGTCTCTCTCCGGCGTCGCGCTCCGAGATGCTATCTCGGAGTTTAGCACCTTCTCCAGCGCCTTTTTTCCACTTTGAGTCGGCGGATTTCCTTCTTGCACTCTTCTTTCTTCTTCTTCTTTATCCCCACAAATGTTGTGGGCGGTCTCCCTCTCTTCTTCCTTTTGCCGGTAGTCTGATCCACCGACGCGCCCGAAGACGATTCGTCATCGTCCGAGGATGGATCATCATTCTCCACGTCGACCATCGCCTCCGTATCGGATCCCGTATCCGTGGAGAGTGGAAGGTCCCTCGCTGTCTTCGAGCATGCTGGCCCTGGTCTCGTGCCGCGTGCTTTTGTTGCCGACGTGTCGTCGACTCCTCGTCGGGTCCTCCCTTGGGCTCTTGCCATCCTACCGTCCGTTGTCCCTTGGGGGTTGCCCATCTCTTCTCCGTTTTCACCGTCTCCTCTCGTTTTGTTTGGTGTGTGAGAATTCATTATGGCAGTGTTTTCTAAACCGGTTCGCTCATCATGGGACCCCCACCTTGGTGGGGGTACTGTCCCCGGTTTTAAGGTTCCCTAGATAAGGACCGGGCAGAGGAGATGCCTTTTTCGGGGTAGCCAGCCCCTATCCCGGTCAAAGCTTCTACGAAAAATGTTTCCTGGAGACGGCCAGGCCCACTATGACGTTAAAGCTTTTACTTCACCCCCGGTGAGGAGCGCGCACCGATCCGATCGGCCGCATACTCCTCCCCAGGGCTAGAAGTTGTCAGGGAATCTCCCCCCTAACAGGGTATGAGAGGACGCTGGCTGTGCGCCCCTCCATACCCGGACTGCCGGCTTCAACGCCCTGATAGGCTCCAGACGGACGAGACGGGAGCCCACATTGAACATGCCACTTCCTGCGGACTTTGCCAGTAAACTGGTCTTACGGTCCCGCGTAGTCCATGGCAGAGGTCAGGTACAGACGTCACCGCTCGTCCCCGGTCGGGGGGTTTACTACTCCCCCCTTGGTTAGTCTCAGGGAAATATCCACCGGCGGCCGACCGCGGCTCACTCACACACCATGCACACAACCGGTCCTCCGTCCTCCACGACCAGCCCCGTACGCCAGGCCGCACGCCCCAGCAGCGGGACGTCGGCCCCAGACGCAGGGACTGACCACTTCGTCACGGAGGACCGGGTGTTGGCCGGCAGGCTTGCTGACCAACCTCGCCGGACCCCCGGGCCCCGCCTGGGAATAAGTCCCAGCGGCCCCGGTGGTCCCCAGGCGATCGGGCCCCGCCTCGGAAGCGTCCGAGCGGCCCCGATCCCCGTCTATCTTCCGGCCCTCTCCGCGGATCCTGGGTGCCAGTTTACCGCAGAGGTTCGACCCCTCCCCCGTAAGAAACGGACCACGTCCGAGTCAACCGCGGGGAGGCCACGACTTCCGGCCCACCCTTCGGCTAGGACCACGTCCCAATACCTCCGGGGTCCGGCTCTCCCCCGCCAGCAAAGCCCGTCCACGACGAGCCCGCCGACGGAGGAGCTCCCCTTGCCGCCGCCCCCTGCCGGAACACCGGCGTGCATTGGGTGACGGTGGCCTCCCCCCGATCCCAGATGCCTGCCGGAGCACCGGCGTGCAATGGCATCTGCGATTCCCTCCCCCTCGGTGCTGGTGGGAGGAGCAAGCTCCCCCCTATCGGCCCCAGTAGCCGGAGGTTTGAAGTCAGGGTACCTCATCCCCTACCAGCGATCAGCGGGCTCGTCCGCCACACGTGTGGTGAACGAGTCCCCCTTAACGGAGTCGCTGGACCCCGTCCGCCCTTAAAAGGGCAGAGGCGGCACTCCGGCAGCGAGCACCCCAGGCCGGGAGGCCGCCGACTCTAAAGCGCGCCGACAGCCGCCCACCCGGAGCGCACGCCACCAGAGCCCCGTCCGGGCTGGGACCCTAACTCGGAAACGTCCGAACGGCCCCGACAGCCCTCCGTCTACGGCCCTGGACCCCGACCTGGGAAACGTCCCAGCGGCTCCAAGGGCCCCAGGCTGCCGAGCCCTGCCTCGGAATAAGTCCGAGCGGCCTCGTCAGCCCGTCTCCTCGGGCGGGACGGACTCCCGGCCCCCCCAACATGGGGAGACCGAGAAGTCCGCCCCCCCGTCCCCTTGGGCTCCCCCGGGGAAGACACCCGTGGGGCCCAGTGAAGGGGACTCCTCTGCCGACGAGTGGCCTCGGTTCTGCCTCCACATACCCGTCGAGGCAGCCGAGACCGGAGTCGCCGGACTCCAAACCTCCCCCCATAAACTGGAGGGAGGGGTGGTGCGCTCTTGGTCAGCGGACGCCCAGCCAAAGGAACCGCCGAAGCCTAAAGCGGCCCACAGACGGTTCCAGGCCGAGCGCCCGCCTAAGCTCCCCCACCACGACAAGGTGGCGCACCAAGGGGGAGGCCCGTCATCACCTGGGTCATCCGGAAAGACAGCCCACCCCATCCCCTGTCGACCCACTGGTCAAGGAGGGGCCCGATTGCCCCGACGACGCGCAGCCCCGGGGTGTTGTTCTCCGAGGCTAAGAGCGCCTCTCGCCACATGGCGATTGTGCGTCGCCGGTGCCGGAGTCTCTGCCGAGCACGGTGAGTCGCTGACCATCTTATGGGTCTCCCCTCGGAGTCGCGGCTTTCGAGGAACATGTTCCTATGTTCCTCCGCCGCGTACTCCATCGGGGGGAGACCAGCGATCACCGCCGCCGCGTTGTACGCCACGGTCCGGTACGCCCTACAGATTCTCGCGGCTATCGGGCGAAACGCACGCGCCATCTGGGCGCGCGCGCGCCGCGATGCCGCGAGTTTTGGGGCCCAAACTGGGGCCCCGTAGAGCGCCACGGACTTAACTGTATTGGCGTACAGCCGACGCACCCCGCCGTCCGGGCCGCCAAGGTTGGGGAGGAGCCGGCTTGGCCGCTCTCACTCCCGCCCTGCTTGCGGCTCTGGCAAGGTGGCTCGCAAAGCTCCATCGGTCGTCGAGGATCAACCCGAGATAGTTCATATCGTGGCCGATCAGACCCGTGGACTTTGCATTGCAATATCTCTACTCATGAGGCACGTAGAAGAAAAGTAAAAACACTTTTATTATGCAAATCGTACCCAAGCTATCAATTAAGCGTAGTCTCAACTTCGTCGGATCAGCCGTTGTTGAGATCCGAGTCAATGAGGGGATGCTGGAGTGATTCTGCACTTTTGGAATTTGCTCCTAGAACTGTCAATTCGTGAACACATTTGTATAATATACAAATTATATGGGTTTTATGTACGAACCGACAATGTTCCACTAATCGGATTAAATCAGAAAACAGCATGGTATCATTGAAATAAAGTTAGTAATTTAACAAAAAATCTATTCGCTTGAATAAGTTATAAGTTATAGGTTACCTAACCTATAACACAGGGACCTAGTGAGACAGTAACGAGTAACGAGGTATAAATTAAAAAAAGCCTTTACGTCTCGTGCACCACGCGACCGCGCATCATGGAACGCAAGAAGGCTCAGTACAAAATCGTCGATTATTCCCTGGCGTTTAATATCACACAATCGGTCATTTCGAGGTTCTCTCGTAATAAAATAATAATTGTGCGCAATTATATTCTGATAAATAAACAGTACGAGATATTTAACACTACAAAAGGGGTGATATCACCTAAAAACTTACCTTTTTAAAAAAAGGTAAAAAAAGCACCAAGTATAAGCTCCAACGACCGAATATATTTTGTTACTCTATCTTTTTTGCATCTCTACAAAAATATCTTCACTACAAAACTATCTTCTCTACAAAAGTAATGATATCATCAAATGGCACCAACTAAACTAAATAGTTTTAAACGTGGTGGGGCTATGATTGGAGTGGGGGCATGCCCGCCGGCTGGGCGTCCGCGGACGCCCGTTGCCCGCGGTTTAGACAATCCAAAAATACCTTTTCAAAAATATTGTCTCTACAAAAGTCTTCTCTACAAAGTATCTTCTCTACAAAAGTAATGATATCATCAACAAATTACGCCAAATATAACAATGGATATTTATATATGTATAACGCGTATCTTTCTTGTACCGTAACCATTCTGTAAATACATCTCATTCGGCCAATAACGTATCGACAGCACCGATGAAAAGAATAGCAACTGTTTAGAAATTTAGAAACTCTGTATCTATTCAGGCGAATTAAGGCTTGTGTCTAGGATGCTAGTACTTGGTCCAAGTTCTAGTTTTGAGAAATGCGTAGCCAATCAACTTGCAGCTTTTGTGGAACAGCTATATTGATTGGCTACATATTTCGCGGAATTAGAACTTGGACCAA